GAGGCCTGGAGGGTAAAGGGAATGTGGGGTGGAAAGGGGGAACCGATTACAATCTAGGTATTGCCTCCTCCCTGGGGAAGGGACAGCAGAGAAGAGGGCGGAGGGAGATGTCAGACAGTATAACTTATGACAAAACTATAATAAGTTGTGAATTATGAAGGGCTCATGAGGGAGGGGAGTGGGGAGGGAGGAGGAAAGTGAGCAACTGATATTAAGGGCTGCGGTGGAGGTCGAATGTTTTGAGAATGATGAGGGCAGCGAATGTACATATGTGCTTGACACAATGGATGTATCTATGGATTGTGATGAGAATTGTACGAGCCCCCAATAAAATTATTTTTTTAAAAAAATCACAGTATCTTTCAAATCTACTGTCCATTACATTTTGGAAGCACTTGATATGTATATGTGCAAGGCTATCTAAATAGGGTGAAAGAGGGACTAAGGGGAAAAAACTTCTTGGAGATTTAACTATGGAACTATTCAAAATTTTTATGTAATTGCAAAGTAACTTTTTTTTTTTCCCTTCAATGAAACTCTTGCAGCCTCTTTTTCAATCTCATCTCTAGAGTCTTCCTTTTTTGGCAACCCTCTATTTTACAAAGTAGAGTATACTTTTCCATGCGCTGGTCCCTCTTGATGACATGTCTAAGCACGTAAAATACGGGTGAGTCTAAGGAACATTCTGGATGTAGTTCTAGAACAGACTTGCTTCACTAGTAGTCCATTCAAAACCAAACCAAACCAAACGTACTGCCATCGAGTCGATGCCGACTCATAGACTGTAATTGTTTACAAGAGTACCCCATCTTTCTCCCAAGAAGTGGGCGGTGGTTTTGGAGCTTCAGGCTTTGTGGACTGTAGTCCAACTAGTAACCACCAACAAGCAGGGTTCCTTTTTCAGTGCACGGTGCGCTTCCAGTATTCTTTGCCAACACCATATACTTCAAAGGTAAAAGTCCTTCATTAGACATCCTTATTGGTTGAAGAGCTATGTCAAGGGTTTCATTTTACATAGATTTACAATCAATGCTAATCAAAGCAATAGTGAAAAAAATCAAACCAGGTATCCCATTGGACAGATGTGCTGCATAAGGGCTTCTCTAAAGTATTCAAGAGCAAAGATGTCCCTTAGTGAACTCAGATGATCCTTAAATAAGCCGTAGTATTTACATCGGTCATATGCTTGTGAAAGCTAGACAATGCATAACGGAAGACTGGGAAAAACTGACATATTTGAATTACGGTGTTAAGTAAAGAATATCCAAAAGAACAAACAAATCCGTTTTTGTTTTTTTCCAAATCCGTTTTTAAGGCCGTATAGCCAGAATGATTAGACATGAGGATGGTGAGATTTCATCTTAAGTACTTTGAACATGTTTTCAGGAAAGAGTACTATTTGGAAAAGGACCTCATGCTCGGTGAAGCAGAGATTCAGTGAGAGAGAGAGAGGGGTGGACTGACACACTGGCTACAACAATGGACTCAAACTAATTGTTTAACAGTTGTGAGGATGGCGCAACACCAGTTTCATTCTGTTTTAGGTAGGGTTGCCATGACTACTAACAGCGGCCCGGCCGTTTCCACGTGCACAAGGAGACTGGAAATACCATGGCTTGGGTCAGGGTCAGGCCCACCTTAGCCTTCAAAGTGACATCTCTGCAGCAAATCTGTCCAATGCAATATGCCATTTGTTCAACATGGCATTTCTTAGCGTTGCTTCTGTAAGCCATTGTAGATCCAAGTAACAACATCCTGGCCTTTTCCTGACTTAAGTTTTACCATCATCTTTATCTACAGATTCATGTATATTCCCTCTGGGGAAATCCACAAATAGTCACTGATTAAAAGTTGTTGAACAAGTTATTTATAACAAATAAGTAGCTGGTCTTGCAATTTCTGTCACTTGGCATCATTTCTGTCAACAAGGTCAAAATTTCCACCTTCCAATACTATTCCTGTTTCCATCTTTCACATTCCAATCATCACCTTGACAGACTACAGAAGCGGTTAAAATATTCAATTTCTTATCTTTGGCATTAATGGTTGCTGAGTAAAGAGTCATACTAACTGGATGAATAAGACTATTATCTTATTGTTAGTAGCATTGGACTTGAAGATGAATCTTGAAATATTCTTTCTGGAAACGAATGTGACGCCATTCCTCTTCAATTTGTCATTCCTAGCAAAGTGTATGACATGACTGCCTGATTCCAAATGGCCAATACCAATGCATTCCATTTCATTTTTGTTGACTTCCATTTTTCTATATGTATACTTTTCACATTCCATGTTTGAAGTATTCATGGATGTCTCCGGCGGTTTGTTCACATTTTGTCATGCCACACCAGCAAATGAGTATCCTAAAAGTTTTACTCAAATTCATGGCATTAAAGTCAGCGTTTTAAAGTGGCATAGCTTTCAACTTCACAAGCCAACAAAGTACAACAAACTGAGAGATGAAGGTAGCGAGAAACTTTAAAGCACAGTAATTGGCTTGTACACCTGTGTTAGACAGGGTTATCTAGAGAGATAAAACCAAATAGCTGATAATTTAATATATTTATTTACAAAGATAATTAAAAATATAACAAGAAATGAACTGTTAAATCATATACAGATAAATATATAATACAAGAAATGAACAGTTAAATTATAAAGCACTACAAATGGCTCAGTGCAACTCACTCCCATGAGAGAGTGTTGTGAGAGACTAGCAGTCCTTCAAGTCTAGTCTGCTCCCAGATCTTCCTCTATTTATAGAGAGAGCTAGGCTATGTCAGCACAGCAGCCAATCACAAGGCAGGTCACCAACTGTCAGCCAGGTCACCAACCGCCAGTCCCCAGCTCCAGAGATATCTTAAAGGGACCTCAACTTACAGTGACACAGTCCATAGGTTAGGCGTCCCACAGGTAGCGTAGCCTTTAAATTGAGGCACAGAACAAGCAAGGCAGCCGCACACTGGTCCGATGATCAAAGAGCGAGAGACAAGAAAGGCGAGGCTCACCAAGCCATTTATCTCTCTGCCCTTCAGTTAATCCCACTTGTGTTTATCGGCCAGGCTGGCACAATAAACTATCTCAACACTCTTAGTGGATTATAAATCAGGTACAAACTAGTAATGCTAACTGAACTACTAGTGGTGATATTGGTTGCCATTCTTATTCTGAGAAAGTTGTACAAAAATTATTGGGATGAGTTAACATGAGAAATCATGATAGTTTTGTTGAGAATTAAATATTTCCAGCATGGCTAAAAGGAGGTAAGCAGTTATCAATGGGAGTAATCTGTAATGAATCCCAAATATTTATATGAATTTATCAAGTGTCTTACTTTCATGAATTTATTAACTGTGAGATATTGAAAAAAATATAAAACAGTGACCAACCCAGAAGTCATGATGGCCACAAGAGCAAAGCAAACAGATTATAATCTCTATTAACCACTTCCCAGTAAAAACAACGGCTCCTTAGTGAAATAGCTCATGCCAGAGCTGGGGCACAAAAGGAGCAAATGTGGCTAAAACATCTTGTCATATTAGAATGCAAAGAAGCTATCAATGACTGCAAGGTCATATATGTCAAAAGGCACCCAAAGTCAACTTGATTAAGACTCCAGTGGGCAAAGACGAAAGAGAGCAGCAATAAATAACTACAACTGACTGAAACATTATCAAAATACAAATGTACCTTTAAGAGATTATATTACTACTAAAAAACCAAACAATCAGTGATCATCTTTAGAGGATGCTCGGAAACCATTTCATTATTTGAAAACTGATAAGGAGTCAGATTTTCGATGAGGGTACATTCCTTTTTATACAAACATCCCAGCTACTAAATGAAGGGAAAATGATAAAATGAGAAAATCCAACAGCTAATGGAGCCAGGTTAATTATCACCAACTCATAATATCTCAAAAAGATAAACTAAATAAAGCAGATATCATTTACATTCTCATAAAAGTTCACAAACCATCTAGTTTTGCCAAATGCATTTTTAAAAAGCAAGGAAATACATAAAATGGGAACCTACCAATGTAAGGAGAGACCTATTAACCAACTACAATATACATACCTTCACTAGAGCCTAATTTAAATGAACTGTAAAAAACGTGCCACACACCCCACCCTTACAACACTGGCCATTTGTAGAAAATTACTGAAACTTAACAATGAGTACATCCAGTTTACAATAGTATTCTCTTTATTTTCATATGTATTTCTATAAAAAGTACATACGTAATTACTGCCCTTGCTTTTACCTTTACATTGCTCCATCCATGGTGCCATCTCATATATCCACCCAAGCTTTTAAGAATGATCACAGGAAATGGCATAACATACGTAAATACAATTATAATACAGTAAAACTAATTTTGCCATACTAAATTCAATTAATAGCAATATTTAAATTTGCTATTAAGGAAACTCATGACACGGTAGTTGCAACAATGAGCTCAAGCACAGGACCAGGTAGTGTTGTGTACTGCTGTGCATAGGGTCGCTATGGGTCAGAACCAACCCTAAGACACCTAACCACCATTATATACGCTTTTCAGAGGTTTCAAAGAAGCCTGTGAAAACTTACCAGAATCTAGTTGTGATGAAAGTACCACCAATGACTGTGATGTTTCTAAATCATAAATTATTGTACTACCAGTGTTGAAAGAGGTTACCATATGAGCTGGATCACAGCCTATAAAGTCAACTGACGTAGGTATTCCATGCTCTGAAAGGAGCACAAGAGATACAATATAAATACATATATTTTGAAATATCCATCTTGTTTTAAAGAAAATAATACTTTATTCTTGAAATAATGTTAATGGTGAAAATGGAAAAAAAACAAAAACAAACAAACAAACAAGAAAATGGAGAAACTATGCTAGGAATGACATGATTATTTCATCAACTATTTAAAAAGTGTTTACAACAATCATTTTTAACACATAAGGACAATATAAGTAAGCAAAGAAAGGAAGTTGAAGCAGTAGGTGAGGGAGTAACAGATATTAACTTGAGTTAAAGAAAACAACGTAATATATAAGAGGAAGAAGATCAATGAAAGGGGGAAGGGTCAGGATAAGGTATTGGAGGTTTTAATAAAGTTTAACCTGATATGAAATGTAAATCCCTATTCCATTTGCAACAAAAAAATAAAAACTATCACTAGAGAGTTCTTAAAGTGAGAATAGACATATGCAAAAATGTTTTATGAATTTTTTTCAGAGAGGACAAAAATTGCTGAGTCTTCTAGTCACTTCTGAATTACAGATACCGAACAAAATCAAACATATACTAACCTAAAATATCTTACAATAATGCTTTAATTTTTGTAATCAGAGATCAGATTAATAATAATGTTTAAAAATTACTAACAAATAAGACTAAACTATACATATATCTATCTTCACAAAGTAGCTGCATGTAACCCAATTTGTATGACCTACTTAAGGATGCTATTTCAATGATTATAGCTGGACTTCACAATCAATGTGCTTAGGGACATGGTGTGAAAATGGTTAACAGGCGGGCTTGAAAAAAATGGTCTCTTCAGATTGCGGGCAGCCTTCACTTGGAGTGAGTGGAGGGTCTTTCCTGCTGTCCTCAGTGAGTAACCTCATTTGCCTACCCCACTAGTACAGTAGTTCTCAACCTTCCTAATGCCACGACCCTTTAATACAGTTCCTCATGTTTTAGTGACCACCCCCCCAACCATAAAATTATTTTCGTTGCTACTTCATAACTGTCATTTTGCTACTGTTATGAATCGTCATTCATATAAATATCTGATATGTGGGGAATATTCTCATTGCTACAAATTGAGCATAATTAAAGCATAGTGATTAATCACAAAAACAATATGTCATTACATATTGTGAAATACGTATTTCTAATGACAAATAAATGAAATTTTGTCTTGAAACATAGTGTATCATAAGTAACAGTCTTCAAGCCAAGTACTCGTATGTGGGCGTATCTGCCTGAGGTCGGATCCGCCTGGAGGCAGATAGAGGAGCACACCGGTGTCTCAGTTCCTAAGACCATCGGAAATATATGTTTTTCCGATGATTTAAGGCGACCCCTGTGAAAGGGTCATACGATGGTCGCGACCCAAAGGCTGAGAACCATTGCCCAGTACATAGTAAGAGTTTTACTTTTTATATGGGACATGACCTGAAGATAAAGATATACTTGCAAAACACTGTTCTTGTGTAAAAACAACAACCTGTGAAGAAAGACTATAAAGAGTATTGTAAGTTTTCTAAAATTCATTCAAAGTATCTCTTTAGGGGCAGCAAAGAAATATTAATCTATTTTGTTTTGTCTTTTCTAGTTTCCAAAATAAAAATTCCTGTTCTTCATTATAGCCAAATTGACTTACCCCTGTTTCCATTGTAAGTGCAAATACACGGCAGTTTTTCCTGTGGGTTCCATAACCTAACAGTGCCATCTGCTGAACAAGACAGTAACTGATTCTTTATGCCACTGTAAGCAAGACCCCAGACTGCATCTGTATGAGCAACTAAAGTGCCACCTAAGACATTTGGCTCTGAAAGAAAAACACAAATTAGTTAAAAACTAATAATTTAAAAGAACTATACTTTAACACATAGTTAAATAAACAGGCCATACATTAATGCCAAAAGAAAATAAGCCAAAAGGTAAAAATGATTGCCTCTAAATGCTCTGAGTTATTCCTGCTTTTTAATATTTTCCTAATTTTCAATATGGAACACGGTTTTAAAATAGCTTTGAGATACATAATTCATGTACAATCCATACAACCTATACAATTAAATAGTTTCTTTATTATGCTCACTGTGCAATTCAATTACCCAATCAATTTAATTTTAGAATATTTCTTTCTCCCCTATCACCGTACCACCTTCCCATTGCCCTAAGCAAAGTATGATCTACTACTGTGGTTAGACACTGTCCAGACAGTTCCAACTCATAACAACCAAATACATTAAAACATTCTTTATGGTCGTAAGTGGGGGGAGAAGAGGACGAAATCATCACAGGCTAAAGGAGAGTCAGGTGTTAACTTGGGGGAAGGGGAAGGCAATATTCAATAAAGGGGTTGGCAAAAAATGATGGAGACCAGGAAAGCCAGTAGGAGGAATGCAAGAGTTAGAAGCAACGAAGGCAAATGCTATCTTACACATAATCCTGCAATAGTAAGGATCTACAAGTGGATGCTTGGATAGATGCACACACTGCACAGGTGTCTGAGGGAGAGTGAATGGGGTATATCCACAAATATATGGCAGGATATCTGTACAAGTGTATTTATCTTTGCTGCAAGTAATCCATAAATGTGGTGGCGCATACAGGGGTCAAAGTCAAGAAAACTTCTGAGACATAACAAGTAGTCTGGGGAGCCGGGAGGGAGGGGGGGAAATGAGGAGCTGATGCCAAGGGCTGAAGTGGAGAGCAAATGTTTTGAGAATGATGAAGGCAACAAATGTGCAAAAGTGCTTTAAACAATTGATGTATGGATGGATTGTGCTAAGGGTTGTATGAGCGCCCAATAAAATGATTTTTTAAAAAGGAAGAAACAACAACAACCAAGTAATCCAATGCACACAACTACCAGTCTCTACAACCCTGAAACCACAACAGCTAAATAATGTCCAGGTACTACTACCAACTGCGCTAAAAAGGATTGTGTCCGAAAGTCCTGAAGAGAGTGGAAGAAAAATGTTGACAAGAACTCGAAATCATAAAAGAGACCACGCCTACTGTTCGAATGGAGACTAGCAGAGACCCAAGACTATGTCCCTGAGCCACTCTTCAGGTCTGAATTACACTCACCTCAATGTAGCATGTATCGAAGAACAAAGTTCAGAGGATTAAAAAAGGAGGAATGAAATACACAGCACAGGGACGAAATGAAGTTAAGTGACGTTACATGGAAGGGACTGCAATGGATGAGCTGAAACAAAATGTGTATGAATTGCTAAATATAAAACTGATGATCTGCCCTCTACACCTTCACCTAATTCACAATAAACAGTTTTAACCTGTCAAATATGTAAATAGATAATACAGTAAAGCAAGCACACACAGAAAAGCTTTGCCCACACCAAATTCAAATACAGCAATTCTTTTCTGATCTTCCTTATTTATTGTCCACAGCATGTACATGCACGAGTCAACTGAAAGTAATTTGGGGGGGGAAAATTTTTTTTTATAATGACAACAATGTTGCAAAAACTAGCCTTACAAATATATATATTTAATAATCAGTAGGATTTCTGAAAGTGGCATTTGTGAATCAGAGGGTTTTTATAAATTTAGAAGTTAAAAACAGCTTACCTTCCAAAATGTTTTGATTTATACACTTACTATCCCTATTTGTTCATCTTTCCCTAAATACCATTGAAATGTACAAATTTATTAATCTTAAAAGGTAAAATTTTTTCTTCTTCAAGTTTTTCTAAGCAGGACAGAAATTAACTTAGATTTTAAAAAACATTTCCTTATTTGGATACCAGAGGGCAAGTTCCAACACATAGGCAGTGTACTCACGACATTTAATTTTTCTCTTTAGTAAAGCCAACTGTCAGCAAATGGAAGTGAATAAGGAGACATATAAGTCTTTATAGACCCTTGTGATAACTGTGTGTCTAGAACTACAGATGCAGAAAGGAGACTAAGGAATAGGAGGAAGAAATGAAACGCATGACTAACTGCTTCCAGAAGAACTGATGGTGCCTGCTAACATTATTGAACACTGTAATATGAAATTCCAAAAAAGTATCCTCATTGAAAGGTCAAAATAGAGAACAAAACTTCTAGAACCATGGAAGCTGAATGAATCCCCAAACTACAACCTTAAAATAACCCTTTCAACCAGTGGTTCTTAACCTGTGGGTTGCGACCTCTTTGGGGGGTCAAATGACCCTTTCACCAGGGTGGTCCAATATGTTACAGTAGCAAAATTACAGTTATGAAGTAGCAACGAAAATAATTTTATGGAAAAAAAAAAAAAGAAAAGAATTTTATGGTTGGGGTCACCACAACATGAGGGCCTGTATTAAAGGGTTGTGGCATTAAGGTTGAGAACCACTGCTTTAAACCTTAAATCCAAGATATTCCCTAAATTCTTCTTAAAACTGAATAGTTTAGCTTACCCAGTAAGCAATGGCTACCTGGTGAGCATTAAGCTATTTTAACAACTATTTTGATGGGCTCACACTGACAGCAGTTAATCAAAAGATATTAGCATTGGGGTGGGGCAGGGAGTTTATGTTAACAGAGGAAGAACAACTTAGGAAAGTGTTTTCATGACAAAATACCAATTTATAAACTATCAAGGGCTCATGAGGGAGGGGGGAGCAAGGAGGGAGGGGGAAAATGAGAACCTAATGTCGGGGGGTTTAAGTGGAGAGAAAATGTTTTGAGAATGATGGACAAATGCACTTTACACAATTGATGTGTGTATGGATTGCGATAACAGTTGTATGAGCCCCTAATAAAATGTTTTAAATAAATAAATAAATTTAATTTTCACCAATTAAAAAAAAAAAGGAAAGGAACGTGTTTTCACTCAGAGTGACAATTGCTGCACAACGGGGGAAAACACACACACAACAATTTTTAAAAAGGACTTACCCTAGCCCCCCAAAGTAAAATCTGATAGTATCTGAGGTTTCGAATTTTAGATTCTATCCCTTACCGTATGTATCATATGGATCCACATTCGGGCTCGGCATATTCCACCACTGAATGGTTGCATCAACACCACCACTAAAACACTGTTCCCCATTAGAGCTGAGGGCTAATGACAGGACAGGGCCACTATTACAGAAAGAAAGGGAGAAAGTATTTGTAAAGTTTAAGAAACCTATCCTCCCACTTCCTCACTTATATAATGTCTAAAAAGATTAAGGTAAATATTTATAATTGAATATTGGTAATATTCTCAGTAAGACAATTATGAGTCAAATTAAATGTTAACCAACTAATCTGCCTTTTCCAATATAAAACATGAGAAAAATGTTAAGGTTTGTACATACTTAACAATGACTAAGAATATTAAATACAAATTAAAAAAAAGAAAACCACTTACATGTGGGCTCTAAATGTGTAGATAGGTTCTACATCTAAAGAGGCACTCCTGAAAGGAGGAGGAAAGGCAATTACACAGTATAAATCGCTGGCTGATGTTAAAGTCCCTGGGTAAGATCAAATACATACATAAAGATATGAGATTTTCTTAAAATAAGAGCAGTAATTTTAGCAAAGCCGAAGGAAGGAAAACACATAAAACAAAACAGGCAAACATTGAAAGACTTACTTTTTGGCAGGAACCGTTTTCTGCAAGTTCCAAAGTTTCAGAGTATGGTCCTCAGAGGCAGTAACCAGCACAGGATCTACAGGGTGGAAAGCTAATGCCCGTACTCCGTCAAAATGGCTACGTAGGGTATACTTGGGGTTCCATGTCTTTCGAAAGGCATCTTTATTGGCAGGCAACTAAAAATAAAGAGAGCAAAACTTGGTGGTAAAAGTAATAAAATAAGCAGGTGGAATTATTTCTTTCTGAGGTCTTTAAAACATATAAAACTAGTTTACTAAATTTAATGTCCTGTAAAAATATAATGTACTTTAAAAACTTTGTAATAACACAGTAACACATTAATTTTCAAGAACTAAAGACAATATTGGCCTTTCAAATACTTAGATAAAATGAAAAGCCTTTGCATCTGTTTTAATCTAATCATCAAGCTAAACAAAAAACAAAACAAAGCCTCTACCGTAAAGTCAATTACGACTCACGGTCACCTTGTAGAACAGAGCTGAACTGTCCCATCGAGTTCCCAAGACTGTACATCTCTATAGAAAGTAGACTGCACATTCTCTTCCTGGAGAGTGGCGGGTGGATTCTAACTGCCAACTTTTTGGTTAGCAACCAAGCACTTTTAACCACTGAACCACTAGGATTCCTCGTTAAATCCAAACCTCCTTTTCATCAGTGGTTGAATACTACAACTACCATTGCTGTAATACTTTAAGTAAAAATATTAAAAATCACAAATTTCTATTTAAAAATCCAAAGATATAGTACGAAAAAATTTTAGAGGCAGCAAGATAAGGTCTGAATTAAAGACACTAGGAATATTCTCATCCCACTTTCACTAATGCTAATATTGATAAGAATGTATACATTTTATCTCCAACTGTTATGATAGGCTGTACAGCTATTTCTAAAGCAGTAAAAATTTCATTGCTTATATACTGAAGGAAAAAAAATTAATGAGAAATAATCCAGCCCATCAAACCTGACCTAAGAAGCATTCTAACAAGTAAAAAACGAGAATTCTTCATTAAAAACAGCCTGCTGAAAACAACAACAACAACAACAAAAAAAAAACCAGCCTGCTGAAATATCACAATTTACTAACATAAAATTCCAAACAAGTATAGTTAACTCTCAATTCAGTGTTAGTTTTCTAGGATAAAATTTCATTCAAGATTAATTTCCCTTAACATTGTCATTTCCCATCCTCTACCTACCCCCTAAAATGAAAAATTAAGGAAATTATGCAAACAGTTCCTTAAGAAAATGGAAGTTTTAAAAAAAAAAGGAAGTTCCAAAATAAAACATGCTTTTAAAGAAGTACTCTAAAGGCAAATATGACTTAATTGGTATAGATAATTGAGAGTTGACTAAAGACATTTATCTACCAAAACATTAAAACAATCATCTCAAACTCCTAGTTAATCCATCACTGTACCTAAGAATAGTTTGAACACCACAAAAAGTAGCTATTAAAAAACCAGTATTCACTTCAAATGAACACAGTGACAAACTTATTTTACACTTATCTTCACCATGCACCTTGACATTTCTTTATGAGTTAGAAGTGATTCCAAAAATAAGGACCCTTCTATTAAATCATTAAAAAATTTGAAAGAAAACTGCACTTACATCATAACTATAGTCTGCATCGTTTGTTACCGTCAAGTCTGCAAGGTCTCCAAGGCCCAGTACACTTAACAAAACATCATCAGAACCCATAAGAAATGACTTGCCTCCTCCAGACGGAAACGTTATTGGTTCAGCTATAAAGAACAAAACCGTTTCTTAGATGCTGAAAAATCATACAGTTCAAGACAATATTGTGGGGGAAAGGGAAGTACTTAACAGTTACAATATTCAGTATATATAATTTTATTTTCCCAGTCTCCCCTCTTTATTCCACCCCAAAATGCTACTGAGTGGTAATAAGCAAATGTGTAAAACTGCACCTTAACCTTCCACAAATACAGACAACATATATTATTCTACAGGTGGGACACAAAGACTTTTTCTTTTAATCTCGCCCTCCATCTTCCTTATTTATACATTTATTTATGTTTTCAAAAATGGAACAAATTTTAATTGCATAAGGGAGCTGTATTATATTTAAGCGATTCAGATTTCTATTAGGATGACATATCTGGCTGTTCCTAAATCCTTTTGCTTTGCATCCTATTTTCTTAGATGGGCTAGATATGCTGCTAAACCGTGATACAAACATAAGCATTTTAATGTAAATACGTTTCTAAAAAACCTACTACACAATGTTTCAACTTGTTCAAACGCCAATTTAGTGCCATCAAGTGATTCCGACTCAGAGCCTCTATAAGAATGGATAGAACCACCTTCATGGGTTTCTGAAACTGTAAATCTTGACACAAATAAAACGTCTCCTTCTTCTCCCACCAGTGTACAAAAGGAAATCTTTAACTGCTCAGATTCCTTCAGTAGGAGCAATAATGCCAGTGTCCTCCTGTCCATGTTATCTTTGGAAATTTGGGGGGGGGGGTATTTTCAACTGTAAAACTTTGCCTATGGTTTTTATATAAACTACAATTTTCACTCAAATAACATGATACTAAATGATACTGCTAAAATGACGTTGAGTCAACTAAGCTAGAGCAACAAATATGAAATTATTTGATGGAATACAAAGTATTATATCTACGTGCTCTTGCAATATTGTATGTGTTGAATCCGAATAATGTGTAATATTAATAGCTAAAAATTATAAAACAAATAAATTTAATTATGCTTAAAAATTACATAAACTTGATTCAGATCTAGATACTCAAAACATTTTTAGCCAATGCAGAGGACTATTTTCCCTTTAATGTCATAATTTGTTTTCAAGACAAATTAGAACAAAATGCCCCATTTACCTCCCATTCACAATTATAAAATCATTCACAAACTTAAATTTTTTATAAAGTCCAACAGAAAACATAATAAAAAGCTTTTCTGTATTCTAATATACCATATATACTCGAGTATATATAAGCCAACCCGAATATCAACCAAGGCTAGACCTAATTTTACCACAAAAACTGCATTTAAAATGTTCTGGAAAAACTGGGCTTATACACAAGTATTCTTTTATGCAAGGATGAATTCTGATTAGACTACACAAATTTAGAGGTATAGATTTACTAGTTTTGGTTGATCACATTAAACAAAAAATCAGTATCATACTCATTCCTAATTAATATGAATGCAATCTCACCCTAATGGTACATACCAAGACCAGATCTAGTGGCCTCAAGTCAGCTTCAACCCACAATGACTCTACAGGAAGGCCTAGAGCTGCTGCCACAGATTTTCAAGGCTGTAATTTTTTTTTAAATTTTTTTTTTTCAAGGCTGTAATTTTTATGGAGGCAAATTACTACATCTTTCTTCCACAAAGAAACTGGTGGTTGAAACCACCAACATTGTGATCAGTAGCCAAGTGCTTTAACTACTGCGCAACCGGGGGTCATTAGGTATTTATATATTGCAACCTAGCCTGAACATTCAGCATTTATTTGTATGTACATGAGGGGGCTCCAAAAGGTTCATAGAAAAGGGGAATGAACTTTTGAAGATTCTGCACATTTAAATGGGGGGAAAAAGGCCAATTCTCTTTCTGCTTTCTGTAATTACTAATCAATGTGGCAAATGGTAATCACAGTAGATACTCAGCTTGTTTTTGTTGCAGAGGGAATTAATGTTAATAAAAAATCTGTACAACACATGGTTACATAAGCTTAAAAACATCAACCAACTTAATGAAAATGATTAAAAGTGATTTCTACTTCAATGATAGAAATTATGACACTTTTTAGTAAGTAGTCCACAAGCAATTAAATATTTTCAAATTATGGTAATCTGAGGGTCTAAAATAAAGATCCTTTAACAGGTCCTTTTTGCAATTTTGTAATTAAACCTCCTTCTTTTTCTTGCCAGTGTTTTATTTTTTATTTTTTAACATTTTATTAGGGGCTCATACAACTGTTATCGCAATCCATACACACATCAATTGTGTAAAGCACATTTGTACATCATTCTCAAAACATTTTCTCTCCACTTAAACCCCCGACATTAGGTCATCATTTTCCCCCTCCCTCCCCGCTCCCCACTCCCTCATGAGCCCTTGATAGTTTATAAATGGGTATTTTGTCATATCTTGCCCTGCCCGACGTCTCCCTTCACCCACTTTTCGGTTGTCTGTCCCCCAGGGAGGAGGTTACACACAGTTCCTTGTAATCGGTTCCCTCTTTCCTACCCATTCTCCCTTTACCCTCCGTTTCACCACTCACACCACTGGTCCTGTAGGGCTCATCCGCCCTGGATTCCCTGTATTTTCAGTTCCTATCTGTACCAGTGTACATCCTCTGGTCTAGCCAGACTTGCAAGGTCGAATTTGAGTCATGGTAGTGGGAGTGGGGAAGAAACATTTAGGAACTAGAGGAAAGTTGTATTTCTCATCGTTGTTACATCGCACCCTGACTGGCTCGTCTCCTCCCCGAGACCCCTCTGCAAGGGGATCTCCAGTGGCCTACTAATGGGCTTTGGATCTCCACTCCGTACTCCCCCCATCATTCACTATGGTAAGATTTTTTGTTCTGATGATGCCTTACACCTGATCCCTTCGACACCTCGTGGTTGCATAGGCTGGTGTGCTACTTCCATGTGGGCTTTGTTGCTTCTGAGCTTGATGGCCGCTTGATTACCTTCAAGCCTTTAAGACCCCAGACGCTATACTTTTTGATAGCCGGGCACCATCAGCTTTCTTCGCCACATTTGCTTATGCACCCATTGTCTTCAGTGATCCGTTTGACACCTCGTGATCACACAGGTTGATATGTTGTTCCATGTGGGCTTTGTTGCTTCTGAGCTAGATGGCTAAACCTCCTTCTGATGGACACTTTAAAAGGATAGTGTCTTTTCTCCTTTAACTTTGTCAAATCTTATGAACCAATTAGCCCAATAATGAATCTATTTACGCTTGTGATGCAATGGGATGTCTTAAGACTTCAAGAACAATAGTGAAACACTGTAATGTAGAAGCATCTCTTCTTGAAAATAGGTTATTTTTCTTTATAAATTGAGGTATGGCATGGACATCAATAGGAAAGCATAAAATTGGGAGTTGCCACTTAAAATAAGAGATTATTAACACGTTTTCCCTTCTTAGCTCTCAGAATTCAATTCTCCTTAAATAACAAATCCTAGGAAGACTTTCATATTTTCAAAAATGTAATGAGGCTCATGTTTACCAAATTCTCCTCTCTATTCTTCCTTCTAACAAAAATGAGTTAGGGGAAATCAATGAATTTTAGGGCTTTTGCAAACACAAAGGTGTAGTGTTGCTCTGGTCTAATATCTGCCCTCAGTCTTCTTCAAGAACCTCAGCTGCACTTAAACAAATGCATTTACTAGTTAAATTTATTTCCTATTTACTACTTATAACAAAAAAAAAGAAAAGAGCAACAATTTTTTTTTCCTTTCTTTAAAAACATACATCGCAGGGAGGAGACAAGCCAGTGAGGGTGCAGTGTGGCAGCGATGAAACATACAACTTTTCTCTAGTTCCTAAATGCTCCCACCCCCCCACCATCATGATCCCAATTCTACCATACAAATCTGGCTAGACCAGAGGATGTGCACTGGTTAGGGAATCCAGGGCGGATGATCCCTTCCAGACCAGTGGTGAGAGTGGCAATACCGGGAGGGTGGAGTAGAAAGGGGGGACAAGGATCTACATGTAACCTCCTCCCTGGGGGACAAACAACAGAAAAGTGGGTGAAGGTAGACGTTAGACAGGGCAAGATATGACAAAAGAATAATTTGTAAATTATCAAGGGTTCATGAGTGAGGGGGAAGCGGTGAGGGAGGGGGGGAAAATGAGGAACTGATCCCAGGGGCTTAGTGGGGAACAAATGTTTTGAGAATGATGAGGGCAATGAATGTACAAATGCGCTTTACACAATTATGCGTGTATGGATTGTGATAAGAGTTGTATGAGCCTCTCATAAAATGATTTTTAAAAAAAGAAAAGCGCCTGGAAGAAAACCCTGATGATCTACCTTCTGATACACCCAAGGTCATCATGAATTGAAACTGATTCAATGTCAACAGGTGCTAATGTGCCATGTGTAAGCCAAACTATTACTGTGCCAAAATGTTTAAATCCACGTTTAATCACTCTCATGACAGATGAAATTTATCTTTCCATTCACTCTGTTCTCACAAGACAGTGGTTTTACAGAACTAAAATCTTCTCAAATATGCTTTCCCTTTATTGATCAACTCAATGTTCTGAAATAAGACCATCAGTAAATAGGAACACAACTTCAAAAAGATAAGCTTATTCTAAAATAAGGATCAGTCCAGTCATATTTGTTATATCTGTCCTGTATACTATGGAGCCCTAGTGGGGTAGTGAGTTACACATTGGGCTGCTAACCAAAAGGTCAGCAGTTTGAACTCACTGAGTAGTCAGATGAGGCAAGATTTGGTCTCAGAAACCTGCAAGGGCAATTCTATTCTATCCTATAGGGTTGCTATGAGTTTGAATCATAGTGATGGCAGTGAAAGAGTATTCTATTTACCAACTATCATTTTAACTAAAATAAAGCTTTCACATGACAAGTTACCTTTTGAAAAAATAAGGATGCCACAATACATGGAGACTTTGAAACTGTATGGAAAAATCCCTTTAACTTTCAGTTCCATTTTCCCACAAATTGTTTGAAAACATATTAAAAGAAAATAACTACTTT